CGACGACTACTACTACTACTACGGCTTGTACTGCTGCTCCTACTCTTAAGTCGCTTCCGCTTTACTTGTCCTACTTCCTACTGCTACGGTTATTAGCTACAAACACTACTACTAGTAGTGATAGTTCTGCTGCTGCTGCCTGTGGTTGTTGCTACTGCAGCTGCTGCTGCTGCACGGTATTGGTTGACCAGAAGAAGAAGAAGTTGCATTCCTGCACTAATTACTAGACTCCCGGTACTGGTCGTAGCTCTCCTTCTCACGTTTGGGTAGCAAAAATACAATGCTGAATCTCGAAGACAAGTGCCATTTAATATTCGACACTTCTGCCCTTATTGCGGGGCCTTACTGAGAAGTGCTGCTGATGCTCAGGCCTGCCTCTGGCCCAGATCGGCTGGGGCCAACCCCAAGCTCCTCCTCGTCTGCCTTCTTTGCGCCCACAGAGGCCCGATGTCGGCTTAAGTCCCTGCGCATGGACGGGCTTGCATGTGCCATAACATCCATAGACCCTAAACCCGAAAACCACTGGAGTGTCCGAGTGTGAGCGCCGANNAGCCTATGGCAGCATGAGCAACGAGCGAGACACCGGAAAGCGGTCCAGTAGTTTAGCTATGTCCCGAATTGCGAGAGTGTCAACCGCTCCAGTTGTCACCGGACGACCTCGCCGAGCTCGAGGATCTCGTGGCCAGCCCCCCCACGCAGAAGGACCGGGATGAGGATAACGCTCTGAGAAGTTGGGCCAGTGGAGGGTTGTGGGATCATTGGGTTGCGGCGGAGGGTTTCAAGTTTAGTCGTTCCCTGTATGTATAGCTTTCTAAGGGGTTTAGGTTGCAGGGTGGACAGCGAGGTTACATGAGCTTTACTTTAGGATAGAAGATTCGTACATTGTGTTGGAGCGCAGCTACGGCATGTTCTTGTAGCTTCCGGCCTACAGACCAAGCATGGGATGGGGGAACCCGGAGAAGCACCTGAACCCTGGACCAAGAGTCCGGCAACAGTGCGCTCCCAAATTTGACAGAAGATGGGACCTCGAGTGCAGTTGAATCTTTGGCGAGGTATCCATCGATGGAGCTGATTCTGATTTTCCGTTCCTAGTCCCGACTGCAATACCTGGCTGCGTACGAGTTGTTAGGGTGCAACCCCTCGCCTAACTTTCAACATTCAACCTTGATACAATTCCAACACCCTGCGCTATTGAGTGCCTTACACTATGCTAAGTAGCCTTCAGGCTGGCAGATGCGACCCTTATGTTCTCTAAGGCCCCTTGCCTTACACTCCACCCTTGAGGAGTGTCGTCGGCGACTCTCGTATCCGGAGGCAGAGTATAGACATGTGGTCAGGGTAGATATCCGATGCTGGTGGTGGCTGGGGTCGCGAGCTTCGTTCGTGTTGTGAAAGCCCGACGCCCATGTAACGAAGTCATGCGAGCGGCCGTTCGTGGTGTTGCAGAATGCTGACGTTTGCATGTTGCTGCTTCCGGCAATCAGCCCTCTGGCACTACGCCTGAAACCCACACTAAAAGCAACAACCTAAACTTTGCTGCCGTGACCGGGATCAAGATTTCAATGACCATGCCGGCAGGCCCGCCAAAGTGAGGCGGGGCTGTGAGCCAATGCAAATGTGCAAGATGTTTTTTGGAGTTACATATCGTTACACTAAAGAACAACGCAGCATGTATCGAGAGTCAGGGGGATTCCAAATTTAGAGCCGGTTTCTGGCTTTTCCCAGTATGGAAGCCTGCGAAGCATCGTACAACAAGCCTTCATCTCCTGGCTGAGACTTATGTAGGATGACAGGATTTTGCTGGATCTCTTCGTTCAGATGCAGGTTCGTCTCCCCATCAGCAGACACTACTGTCTATCATGAAGGAACCATGAAGTCAAGTGGCATGGAAATGGCCTGCGCGGAGGTGCTGCTGTCTTATAAAATCCGAAATGCTCCATTATGCTATGGCAGATTCGATCAGCGCCGATGCGTGGTGCGCTAATTTGAGCAAGCCAATGCAGTTAATGATGGGCACAGGTCCACCTTGCGATTCGGTGCATGCAGAAAAAGGCACTGCACCCCGAAGCTCGGAGGGAAGGCTTCAAGGTACTCTATATATATATATGCTGATTGTCCACGATTGCCAATCTCCAAAGACCCTAAACCCAGCTGAGCTTTGCAAAGCATAAGCATTGCTGAACCGATCTTCATCATGCAGAGGTGCCATCCCCCTTATGACATTGGGCTCACTTCACCCCACAAAAACCGGGTTGACCTGCTAAGTGAGACGACACTCGGCCCGGCGGCGAATCCAGTTCAAGCGTGTTTCACCCACTTTGCGTAGGAAGCAAACTTCAGCATAGCATTTGTTTGGGAGCCAGCCCTGCCGTTGACGAGTAGCACAGCTGACAGGTTCAAGCAGTATAGGGTTGTAGCTTTGTAAAGTCCTGAATCCAGAAACTGAGTGGGTCGGTCCTTGGCTAGGCGACACAGCACAACCTGGCCCAGAGTTAAGCCTCTATAAGCTTCAGCCAAGTTTCGACTGCAGCACTGCATGCCCACTGCATCACGAAGTCCAAGCAAGGGCGCGAGAGGAGGTGGCGAGTCGGCCACGCGGCGAAGGGCCTACCAGCAAGCAGAGAGCCTCTCTTTCGGGGATGGCAGTAGTCGCTGGCTTGATACCAAGTTTTTCATCCAAGTCGAGCACTGCGGTGGTACGCCGGCTTCTGCCGCGTTCTCTGTGCGCCTGGAAGAGGACTTGTACCAGAAGAAGGCACAAGCACTCAAGCAGGACCTCGACGAGTTCTTCGAAGGATCTATTGAAGTGGTACTGGTAGAGGTGCCCACGCTCTATGCCCTAGAGGTGCGGGTCATGCGGGACAAGCATCACCCACGTCACGGCTCTGCAGTTTTCGGGGAGGAGGCCTGTGCCCAGGGGGCCAAGACGCTCTTCTCCAAGGTGGCCTCGAAGAAGTGGCCTAGAATCGATGATCTCTGTGCTCAACTTCAGGAGTTCACCCGCATTCCTGTGAGCATGCGTGTGCTTTGCACGGAGCTGCCTCCGGGGGTAGAGGCGGCACCCATCCCGGGAGCAGAAAATGGCATGGGTGACCCACTGTTTCCGTTAGAGAACTTGACGTTGAAGGTGTTCCACAGCACTGGCGCGGAGCATCGCTGCAGCACCGATGAGGAGGGCCGGGCAATGGAGGTATTATTCCCTGGGAAGTTCAGCTGCGTTTGCGACCCGGGATGCCACTACGATAGGCTGGACCCGGGCGAGATCGAAGTTCCATCCCTGTTTCGGCCTTTGCAGCTTGTCCTTTTGGCGAAGATGAAGAAAGCTTGCAGCTTCAAGGTCGTAGATCATCTTGACAAGCCCTTCCGCAACTTTCCGCTGAAAATCACGCGACGCAAGCGCACTTTGGGAGCCGAGCCCGTTGAGCTCGTCACCAAGGGCCACGGCCGCGTGAAAGGCCGCCTGGGCGTGGGTCTGCACATCGCCTCTTATGGTGGCTCCGAAGAGTTTTCACCGGTGGAGCCATTGGCTCAGGATCTGGAAGTCTTGGACATTGACGGCCAGCAGAGCTTCCGCATTTGTGTCCAGCGTTGTCGATTTCTCTGCGAGATCGCCCTTCATACTCGGTTTAACGAGCCGGCAAGGGGATGCCCCTTTGTGGTGAGGTCTGGTCGAAAGCGAATGCAGACACCCATCGCCACGGGCATTACCTCAAGCACAGGCATGGCAAGAGTAGAGCTACCTCCTGGAAAGCTGATTTTCGCACTGGAGCCGGAGGGCGAGTCCCCGTATGTGCCGATGCAGTTCGAGCTGCAGGTGGGTGAGACGGGGGGCTTCGAACCTAGGTCTCACAAAGTTGAGACGAAGTCGGTGAATGTGAACCTGAGCCTCATGACGCCCTACGGAGAGCCGGCCCCTTTCTGCGACTTCGAGCTCCGTGCCTGCTTCAGAGAGGATGGGACGCTGGCCGAAGAGGGGGGGATGAGCTTCTGCAGTGATGAGCAAGGCCAGGTGTTGGTGGCTTTGGAGCTGCTTGAGCCTTTTGTCTTCTCGGTGAAGCCATCCGGCAGTGGTTCAGAGTACATCCCACAGGACATCTCTTTCCTCACCGACCGCCAGTCTCTGACCATCGTTGTTGTCAGGTCGCTGCTTGGCAAGATCGCCGAGGACAGTGTTGTGTTTGTCGTAGATACCTCTGGATCCATGCAGGCATACTTGGATGATGTTACGAGTGCTGTAAACTTGGCCTTGATACAACAGTTTCACAAGACTGGGCGGCGCTTCAATATCCTAACATTCACCGACTACCAGGTGGAGTTTCAGGACGACCTCGTGGATGCGACGCCCAAAAACGTGGAAGCTGCCATGCAGTTCTGTCAGCACGCACAGGCTGGAGGCATCAGCAACCTCAGTGCTGCTTTGCGCTTAGCTTTCGCCTACAAGCGTGCCGAAGCCATATATCTTATTACAGATGGGGAGTCGGATGTAACGGAAGATCTTTTGACGCAAGTGCAGGTTCAGTATTTGAGCCACCCGATGAGGCCGCGACTGCACACAGTCGGCATCAACTGTGCGCCGGGCGGCGCCAGAAACAGGGGCTTGCAAAAGCTGGCACAGCTGACTTCGGGATACTTTCGAGCGCCTTGCCTAGAGCAGGACACCGGTGAAACACTGCTGCCAGGGGTGTCAAAACACGACAAAGTCAAGGGTCTCGATCTGATGGACGCCCAGTTCGCCACTACGAACCAGGACACAGGCGATCTTTTGCCACGGGGCGGCAGGCCCAAAGATGCCAATGCTGGGGATGCCTCTTCTGTAACGACCGGTGAGGACTCAAATGCGAATGCTGATGAGGGAAGCGAGACGGAGGAGGTTCGGCCAAAGGTTGAGACCATGTTTCGCATAGTTGGCTTCAGGGTGCCTCCTTAGTAAAATCATGTACAGCAGCACACTTGAGAGTGCTGATGTCTCAGCGGAAAGTGTCTTGAAAAGGCTTCCAACTCTTGGAAGAAACATGGTCCGAGAGAGGGAGCCGAAATGCGGCCAGACAACCGCCGGAGACAAAAGAGACGCTTTGCGGCGCATCGCCGGCGCAGTCATAGTTTTTCGTGCACTTTCTGGTTTTGGAGGTTCAATGGGCTTCGCTAGCTTCGCTCTAGTCTCTAGATTTCTTCCTGGCTCGCACAGCTTGGATTTCAGGGGTCGGCACGCTTCGATTTTGACTTTCTGTTTCATCATTATGGTTCCATCCTGAGGAGTGCCCTGCTAGCAGACGTCTCATCCCGTTAGTCTGCGCCGTCACAGTCGATCTCTCGATAGCGAACCCCAGACTCCAAACAGAGAGAACTGAAGATCCGCCCCAGAAACGTCTACGACCATTTGAGCTGCAGCTGGTAATCAGTTATGGTCATGGTGGTGTAGACGTAACGAGTGTTCAACTGGGATTCGTCCGGGTATCGATGCGTAGATTTCATAGGATAACGACACTTGTTCTGAGCTTCTTGACCCGCTGGGGATGCAGATCGAACTGGGCTGCCGCCGAAGATGTTTCACATCAAAGCAATTCCCAAACGGGAGTTGCAGAGCATTGTATAGCCCATTGCATCATGCCATGCCAGATAGTCGGAAGCAAGACCGAGGGCATCCTTGGCAACGACATGTTGGTGGCAAACTAGATTTGCTGGGCTTCAGATTCATTCGCGACATGCCCGTGCAAAGGCACAAAGCCAACCAAGCCATCGGCAGCTAAACAATACAATGTTTTTGAAACCTCAACACGAAGTGGGCGGGGCTTGATGGCCGACCCTCGTGACAGGACAGTCTGCTTGCTGTGCCCGGATTTTAAGCAGGACCTGGATCTAGGACCAGTTTGCAGACCAACAAAGTCATCAGTCTAAGAAAGCATGAAATGCACGCCACGATGACGACACCCAGTGTGTCGAAGGCAAAACAGCGGTACCCTGTTCCTCAGCCTCCTCATTCCGGGGATTTCGATACTTCAGGTGTGGAGCTGTTTCATGTCTGATTACTGTGGGAGGCTTCAGGTTACGACGCCTTGTCAGCACAGTGCTTGCCCAACCAAGCCTGCAGCACACCTTGCAAGCTATTGCAAGCACTGTCTAGCAGAGTTCGAGGCATTCTAGCCCGAGATCATCCGAGATCTCACCCATCCCAGGACCCTGGAGTTATGGCGCACGATGCCGGCCTGCAGGACAACCTGTTCAGTCAGTGTTGTCGCGGGCCTTGTATTTCGTAGCTTCGCGGCGGTCACCGAACCCAGCGACTCCGACAGAGCACTTACAGTCTTACAGTGTCAGCACTCGTACTCACTTCTTTGGTTCTTCGATTGTCCAGAAGAGGCAGATAGCTGATCGTTTTGAGAAGCCTTGGATTTCGACGCCCCGATGTGAAACTTGACAGCTCCTCAACCGTGCGCAGCACTCTTCGGATGGATGTTGGGTACTCGTAGCCCTTGTGATGACCTCTGAGTTATATTCAGCTTCACCTCATCCGTAGCATGTTCCGTTCCGAGAGGAGCTCAGTAACTTTGTACAGCTTGGCGCTCGGAGACAGTTGGGTTGGCTGTTGGGGGTTTGCAATTTCGGGAGTTGGATGAACACCTCGTGGCTATCCCAAATGCACTCTGAAATTGGAGCCCTCGGCTGTGTGTTTGTGTACGTGCACACCTACATACGCATGCAGATTTTTGACCTTCCGAGTACAGACATGGTTCCGTGTAGTCATACTGATTGAGTATAAGGGGTCGTTGGTGTCTTGGTTTCGGTTTGGCACGGCTGAGTATCTTACCGCTGTCTCCAAAGTTCAAGCGTGACTTGTGGCTTCGTTTAGTTCTTGATGCTGTTTACAGCTTGCAGCTTGTGTCTAACGCACTGCTGGTCCACTATGCAGTGCAACGAAAGAGGTTTGTGATGCTGTTGCTCGCTATGGTCCTGCTCCTGGCCCAAGATACTGAACTCAGCCCAAGGCCCTGACTTTGCGATTGCTGAGGCAGCTTCTAGCTTTGCTCAAGCTTCACTTATATAATTACTTGTGACCGACATGTTCTTTTCTGGACATGTCCGAGGCTCTCATGGGGAACCAACCCACATGTAAGACCGTCAGTGAAGATTGACAATCATGTTAGCGATTTCCTGGTGCTAAGGCAAGCATTGGGACTTTCTGTGGCTGAAACTGCCACCGAGGTGGCGTGCTCGCATGTGTTGTCCCGCAAGACATGCTCGGCCCGAAAACATGTCTAAGGCAGAACATGGTTCGGCACATATTGTTGCAGGCAGTATGTCCTGTAAGTCGATCTACTCTGGTAAAGTAAGTACATGTCACAAGTCAGTTGATCACCGCTCGAAGCCATCAACACACCATAGCCCATGCAAAGTTAGGTCACAGCCCCTTTAAGCATCGTCTTTGGACGTGAAGGCGCTCACACTTCTAGGCCCAGAGATCGAGATGGATCTTACAGATATAGGCTTGTCTTCACGCTATAGCTATGTATCTCCCCTTCCATCTACCCACAGGAAAGTGGGAAACACATACGATATTCGCACGCGCAAGAGCAAGGAGTAGTACGTGACATATGTAGCTGTACATGCATAGCTGCTTAATTACATGCATACATTTCGAGATACACACATGCATCGGTACACAGGTAGGTAAATCAAACACAGACATATACATGCACACAAATGCACACACCCACAAACAAGCAATTAAGCAAACATACATGTACACACGCGTATATATCATGCACACGTGCATGATAAGTACATACACACCTATACATACATACAGTACGTACATACATACGTACATACATACATACACACATGCATACATACATACATACATGCACACATGTAACATACTTATTTTAACATACTTTTAAACATACTCCCAAAGCCACAAATATTTTTGAAACACGCACACGCGCACACGCACGCACGCACCTACCCACCCACGCACCCACGCACCCACCCACCCACCCACCCACCCACCCACCCACCCACCCACCCACCCACCCACCCACGCACACGCTAAAGAAAGTGTTCGTCTATACTGGCATGTGATGGATAGCCGTATACGAGCAGTATGTTGTGGAGGAGGTGCATAGAAAGGTTCCCAGTCTAAAACGCGGGGTGTCCGAGTCCCGATGCAAACATTCCGACGTCCCTGCCCAGTTCCCGGCTGCCGGTGTCAGAGAATCCTCAGTCATAGAGTCACGAGCTGGTGCTTCACTCAAGCATTCCTTGCAGCAGATTACCTAATTAGCACGCCCGCATTTATCGAAAGGTAGATGTGCGTCCAGCATCACATTTACGGTATATTTGGATATGAATATTGAATAGTTGATTTCCCCGAGTGCCAGTTCTTCGACTCAGGCTGAACCTGACTTTCGGGGTCTCGGCTCCCGCGGATATTCTGCCCGAACCTCACGTTCAGAAGCTCGGGTCTCCAGGTTGAGACCGTGAGGGGCAGAGTGTACGTATGTTCTGCGTCCTGAGGCACTCAGAAAGTTTCCGCGGTTTGGGCGAGTGTGTAGCAGTGTAGTAGACAATGGAAGTTCGCAACAGTCGGTTTCGGAAAGTAGCTGAGTGAACCCGTCGCGGACAACGTTTCAGGATGACACCTCCACACATGGATAGTTTTCGGAATTGGGTCCGGTTTCGGGTCGTTTTTACAAGGGTGCCGGGGACCCAAAAAGGGTGTGGGACCCTAATTTAGAGAACTACCCACATGCTGGGGAGCCCAACCCAGCCCGGGTCAGGTTCACCCCGTAATTGCAGATGGTGAATTTGCCCAAGATGCCTTAAGAAACAGGTTTATGATTTAGGGAAGCTGTCCTGGCATGATGTTGCAAGCCAGTTGCAAAAGGGTATAGATGTTGCGGCCAAGTGGTAGCACTTGGAAGGACCGGGAATATTTCTGTGGTGTATAGGGCCCTGAGTCTCGTTGGGTCCTGTTCTCAGACCTGCGCGATGGGCCCCTGACTTGTGTATGCAGGCCTTGGATTTTGAGGCCTGCCGTGCAGTGGAAGGCACAGAACTGTGGCGTTTGCCGTTTTTGCTGACACCATCAGGTGATCCACGGTCGACGCAGCTGTCATGAACTCAGGGTGTGCCGCAGCGCGCAAGCTTCCTTCCAGTGGAGAACCCGATCCTGAGCTGCTGAATGCCTACTTGGACGTACTTCAACCAGTCTCCTGAGCAGGGTTACAGGGACAGGGCCCAGCAATCCTTGATCGTGCAGATGAGCCCAAACGATGCCGGAGCTATACGTACACACAAACACACACTGCCGGAAACCCCGAGACCAAAGCAGGCGAACCCCTTATTGTGGGGAAAAGCTTGCTTCGTGGAGATGAGGGGATTCTCCATGTTGTAATTCCCATCAATGGCTCAGATTCCGACCTCGACCCCACCATCAAATTGTCATGGCAAAGGTATGGGCAGTCGTGAGCCTTACCACGCCCGGACCTTAGCGCCGAGCAACGCTGACTTTCATGAGCCCCTTCCCTGGACGACCCCTTAGCTTCAGAATGGCCCCATGCCTCCCGCGAAACTAGTGCTGGCAAAGATGCTGTCGTACTTAACCCCACTCTGGCTGCCGGGCCGCCGGGCTGCTGTTCTTGTGGATGACATATCCAATAGGAACCTGGAGCCACCCCAGGCACAAGACTTGCTGCAGCCTTTGTCCAGGGTTCAGGGCTTGGGCGAGAGTGCCGGCAGCTAGCTCGACTTGCAAGGGGTCTGAGGGTCGATTGAGAAGGTGCTGTGCAGCCGATATCTACTGTGAAGAGATTTGGAAAAGAGATATCCGGCGGCGACAGCACAAACACGGTAGTCCAATAACCCGCGTTCGTACTCAGAGCGAGCATCCTGGCATTTAGCACACTCGTGAGGCCAGCAAGAAGTTTTGCCCCAAGCTGATCTTGATGTAGCAGTAGCACGTGCCGAGGCAACGACGATGCGAAATCTCACTCAAAAGGAGTCGTGATGAGCTTGCAATGACCGGCAAGTCGTGAACACACCAAGCCGCAGTGTTCACTCCACGCGAGGTCGTACCGGACAATGTTAACATGCATCCTGCATCAATGCATCAGCTTCTTTTATGTAATTACATGTGCAAGGATCACGCTGATCTTGTCTAGTCTGCCTTGAAGCTCGTCCCGCCAACAGCTCTAGAAGTTGGGTAGATATGTCCGAGCTGATGCAGGAGAGAGATTTCCTTTTTGCGATGCGTGCCCGGGACGACGTGGCAGAGGCCGGCCGCCCCGAAAGACTCCAGTAGCAAGCAATGCATTCCTCTACCCCTCAATTCTCTCATTCTCTCCTAATTATGAGGTTCATCACCGAAAGGCCGGTAAGTTTCTGATACTTGCGCATCGGGGTATGCATCTTTGTGCGAAGATGCAGCTTCAGGGGAAGTGCAATTTCGGAATATGCGCCGAAGAAGAAAGCATGCGCAGGAGCATGTCCTCGATGTGGGAATATCCCGCGCTGCAGGGCAAAAGTTTCCGGGCCGCAAGTGTTCGGATTTCGGGTTGAGGTTTAGGGGCTGAGGGATCTGAACATCGTGACAAACAGGGATCATGCTTCAGGGTGGTGTCGGCCCATAGTGTCAGTGGGTGTTGGGCATGGCTAAATTTAAATTGGCCAGTTGATCCAAGAAGCCCTAGAGCCTATAGTGTGTCTTGCAAGTTCATGCTAGGCGAGCATAGCGGGAAGCGGGCATTCATTGTTCAGGCAAAGGGGCAGCAGGACGTAGTACTGTTGTTGGTGGTGTTGTTGGTCGCGGTGGCGGTCGCGGTGGCGGTCGCGGTGGTGGCGGCGGTGGTTGTGTTGATGGTGTTGGTGGTTTTGGTGGTAGTGTTGTTTGTGGTTGTGGTTGTGGTTGTGGTTGTGGTTGTGGTTGTTGTTGTTGTTGCCATGTTCGCCACTTGCCGCCCCGAAAGGTATGATTGGGGCCAGCGAGTGGGGTACATGGAGGGTCTTCAGATGCTACTGGGGTTTAGGCAGGGGTGGAGGGGGGGGGATTATAGCGGCATTTTTTACTCCGTCAGTGGCTATAAGCTTCCATGTTGACCTTGAGGTACTCCTCGTCACCTCTCATGAATTCCTGGTTCTGATGGCTTTCTTCTTTCCCTTGTGCTCCGTTTGTTTCTTCGACTCCGGGCCACCTTCAGCACAATCACGACCTCACTGTTGCAGAACCTTGTCTTGTCTTTATTCATTGTCGGGATCTCAGGATGACTGTGTAACGGTGTACACTCCTGTCTCAGCCGTGGTGTTGTTGATGCTGGTGCTGGTGCTGGTGCTGGTGCTGGTGCTGGTGCTGGTGCTGGTGCTGGTGCTGGTGCTGGTGCTGGTGTTAGTGTTGGTTGTGGTGGTTGTTGCTGTTGCTGCTGCTG